AATTATATAATTTTTTTTCTAAATTTGCACACGCGTTGCGTGTGCCTCGGCCGCTAGTTCAAGTAATGTGGATTGCCCAACAACACCAAAATAAAAAATTTTAAAAACAAAGTCCATATACATGAAATAAACCAAAGGAAATCAATTCAACCATTTTTCTTTTTTATTGAAGATGCACCACGACTTTCATTTGAAGTTTAAAGAAACAGCAAATATTAGTATGAAGATACACTTCGGGGAAAAAAAAAAAAATAGTAATACATTTTTTGCACCAAGCATTATGCAAAACTATGCAATCCAATCAAAGAACAAGGAGAGAATAAAACCATGCAATGAATTCCAAAAAAAGTATTACCTGTTTTAAAGTAGCACTATAATTATGATACTAAGAATATTATAGGGAACCAAAACACATCAACTAATACATGCATGAATCATGATACATGTGTGTGCATGTGTGTATCTGTCCTTTTAAGCATTGCACGGTTGCACCTAAATGAAGCCGCATACCCTTCACCTAAAATCAAATAGGCCAACAGAATCCACCTAGTTTCCAACAGAGATGTTGATGTTGCTAGTGATTAGAGTCTATTAACACTAGTATTTAAACCAGAGGCTGGCAGGATGTTCTAGAGTCAAGGTACCTCTTTTGGGGTCTCATTTAAAATGCCATTGAGAGATGGTTTGAAGTCCAATCGAGAAATCAGTACTTAAAGAACAATTACTATAAATGAGCTGAGAAACACATCTACTAGCATGTCTTCTTCTCTGGTAAATGGTAAATCAAAATCCACCACTGACTGCCCCCACCCCACCCAAAATATATATATATATATATATACAAGAACCGCTTAGCTACTTGATTTTGCTCTTTTATTTTGAATAATTTACTAATGGTGATCTATATGTTGAGTGAAGGTTTTTTTTCGTAATTATGTAAACATTCTTGATCAATTATGAAATATAAATATTTTATTTATATATATATATATATATATATGCATTTATAGAATCATTTAAAGTGATGAATCCTTTGAACCTTGTGATTGCATTCAGAATGCAAAAGGTCTAGAAAACCATAAATCAATCATAAAGACAAGTAACTCAAAGCAGCCCAGATGTTATTGAGTTATCCCCATAGATACTAACGTCCAATCATTGAAATCACAGCACCTTTGGCAAAAAATTATCATGGGTTACCATGGTTTTAAACTTAAGAAGGCGGTCAATCATTGAAAACAAAACTAAGCAATATCCATGTTCATTTAATTTTCTTTAATCTGTAAACAACATCAAACAATGCCACACAGACAAGTAGAATGAAACCAACATAAAGTAGAAAAAAAAATTTAATAATTCCCAGTTGATCTGCTTTCATTCATACACACATAATTTATATCCAATAATCTCTCTCAACAGCAAAACAATTTAAGAAACAAAAGCACAGCAAAAACTTTGATTCAGAGATAAACCTAAGAACAGAGTGATTGGATTAAGAGAGAGAATAAAAAAGCGAATCGTGAGTTACCCGAAACCGATGAGCGGTGGTGCTGCCTGAGATTTTTTTCGATTTGTTTTTTTTTGTTGTTGTCAGTACAATTTATATCGCGGTTTGGGACTTCAGATCGAAACCCTAGGTGCCTAACCTAACCTTACCACGCACTTTCCAATCTCAGGCTTTAACCATGGTCAAGGAAAACAATCCTAATCCTAACCATGCTGGTTTCCCGTTTCTTTGTCTTTATCTTCTTTTTTTTTTTTTTTTTGGGCATACTTTAGTTAAAACTTGTAAAAAATAAAATATTGGGAAAATTATTAGTATATATAAAAAAAAAATCCTCAGATTGTCATTGTATCAAAATAAATTCTAAAATTTAATTTTTTCGATTAAAAAAAATTTACTAAAAACTAGATGTAAAAAAATTGAAAATAACCTTTTTTGCAAATTTTTTTAACTAGTCTTTATTAGTTAAACTTTTGTAATTCAAGTCCAATTGTAGCATTGTGTATTTATCTTTCACTATAGTACCCCTATTAATTGTGGATAATTATTGAAAAGTCCAAGTCAAAAAGGATATAAGGCATTAGGTCTAACGGATATTTTTTATTGATAAGAGATGCACCATTTATAAAATAATTTGGTGAGAATTCATTTTCTTGGTTTTGAAATATATTTTGTTTCTAATTTTACCCATTGACTTTTTTTTATCTGTTGACTTTTCGTTGACTATCTATTCAAATTTATATCTACCTATTCAATTTTTTTTCCTATTTGTTTAAATTTATATCTATCTATTCAATTTTTTCCCCTACTTGTTTAATATTTTTTTTCCTTATTTGTTCAATTTTTTACCATATCTGTTCAAGTTTTGTGGATTTTTCTCTCTATCTATTCAAGTTTTGTGAGTTTCTCTCTCTAATTTGTCCTCTCTATTGAAATTCTTGTGCTAATTTTCCTTATCTGTTCAATTTTGTTCTTATTTGTTTAATTTTTTTACCCTATCTGTTTACTTTTTTAATGTTTTCAATTCAAATTTCAAATATTTGTCCAAATAAAATCTATTTATTGAACTTTATCTGTTTAAAAATTCTACATGTTCAAATTATCTATTGAAATTCTATAATCTTTTTTCTATATGTTGAAAATAAACAGATAGAGGATTCCAAAAAAAGAAGAAATCAACCTTATTTCTTCTTCACTCCCTTCTAAACCACATAAAAAGAGAATCTCTGATGGAATTTTATTATCATCAACAACAACAACAACAACCACCACCACCACCAAACCACAAACCAAACAACAACAACAACACAATGGCACCGTTTGGGAAGTAGTTTTGTGGGCTTTTTTGGCTATTTTAGCCATAAAAGATAAAATAGGCTATTTTAGCCACAACAAACAAAACATCACATCCAACCCATAATCATTACACTATTTTCTTACAAAAAAAGTCAAAAAAACCATAAAGTCAAAAAATCATTCACAGACTAAGTTTTTTAGCCTAAGCTAAAATAGTCAAGAAAGCCAAAAAGTCAAAAAGGCAACTCACTTCCCAAACCAACCCAACATAACCCAACCCAACCTTTCTGTTCAAAACACTTCAATAGACAAGAACACACACATACACAATCAACAACAATAAAATTAGAAATAATAAAAAAAAATGAACGAATTTGAAACAGATAACCCTAACAAATTTTTTTTAGATCTATTGAACAGATAAAACCCTAACAACAAAATCAGACCTGAATCCATATATGTATATAAATTGATCAAGATTTTTCAAAAAAAAATCACAGATCTGTTAAAAAAACCACTGATCTGTTTAAAAAACCACAAAATAGACGCGAATGAGGATGGCGATTGGTGGTGCTGCGGTAGAAAGATATGCTGTGCAATAGAGGATGGCGATCAGCAAGTCATGTCATTGCAATGGTGTGTGATGATTGTGGTGGCAGGATTACTTTTGGAAACGTCAATAATTGAGGAAGCCACTACCAAGCTTTTAAATATGTTTAATAAATATTTATTTATACTTATAATTGTAATAATTTTTCTAAAAAATATGAGTCATAATACATGTAATGGGTGTATAATTTTTTTTTAAAGAATTTATATAAAACTCTCTCACCAGCACTGTTCTTATTGGTACATTATTATTACCATTTCACTTTTAGTTGTGTGCTACCAATTTACAAAATTGAATTATATTTGGCATATTGAATACAAAATGCATATCAAGGCTATCAAATCTAATTATTTGATACATAAATTGAATTCTCTAAAAATAAGATTCTAAAATTATTGAGAGAATATAATGTAAGTAAGAAATGAGAGTAAAGATTTATGAATGGATGAGAATATTTTTGTGTAAATTTTTTTTGATCTTCTACATTGAAATGTTATTTTTCGTAAATTATTAATAGTTTGAAAAAAATAACAAGAATAATTTATTTATTAATTAATTGTTTTGTTTTAATGCTATGCTAAACTAACCGGTTGGTCAAAAATCAAAAAATTGAAAAGGCAAACAATTACAAACCAAAAATTTCAGCCAGTCATATCTCATCTGTAGAGTCCTAGAAAGGTGCATCTAATCGCAATCAGAGTTTCAATTCAACACGTTCCATTGCTAGCTGCCCAACAATGAGATCCACCACTAAAAAAGTTCAGTGGGATGATAAATCAATCAAAATCCATACTTTAAAGGATAAAATTATAAATAAATTCATGATATTTACTTAAAATACACATTATTCTTGTGATTTAAAAAATTATAAATATTAATTTTTAATTTAATAAAATTAATTAAAAAAAATAAAAATTCATAACTATTTTTCTATACAATAATAAAACTAACTAAATCATTAATTAAAATATATTTGTAACATTATTAAAAATTGTTAATTGATTTCATAATTTATTAATAAAAGTGACAATTTGTTATGAAATTAAAAATCTCAAAGGATAAAATTTAATTTCCAGAACCACAAAAAATGATTCGTATTTTAATCAGATCTCAGGAGTGTATTTGTAATTTACCCTTACTTCAATAATAACTGTAGTCAATACTTTAATAATAACTATCGTCAATAGTAATACGAGCCTATTTGTAATTTACCCATACTTAAATAATAACTATAGTCAATAGTAATAGTAATCTTTTGGTAAACTACTACGGTAACACTTTATCATAGCACCAAATAAAATGAATCTGAACCAAATAATCACAGGTCAAAAATAAAAATGTAAAAAGCATACTTGCCTAATGGGGGAATTTATAGATTCTTGTTCTTCATGTGAATTGACAGAAAAATGAACACTCACAACAATGTAGACAACAGAAGAACTATAAAACACCCTTATCAGATCATACCACATAGAACATAACCATACTATTTGAAGATCAAATCATAAGTTTCAGCAACTATTTCACCAAAGGTTTAAGTAGGCTTACTTGTACTCTTGTTCTCCTAATTCTGTCAAATGTAACTAGTGCAGTGGAAGCCCACAAGGAAAAATATCAAAATATCAAGATGCCCTCAATCAGATACAAAGACATGTCAAAGTGACTATATTTAAAAGCCAAGGCCTGTCTGAACAGGACACCCATATACCATATGTCACAAACTCTATGCAGAAAACTTCTGCATAGATTACAGTACAAGTATAAACTTCAACCATATATAAACAGAGTAGCAGAAATTATAATAAATCTTTAAGGAAGCAAACTTCTTCAAAGAGCAACACCACACAACTGTTTTCCACAAACCACAACCATATGTAAAGTTCCCTTAATGTCGATGATAAAAATAACTTCAGCGTCTAGATCCAGTCAACCACCACAGTGATGCAAAAGCAAAAAGCAAGCTTCATATGGCATCCTATGAGCAAAAGATGGGGTTGTTGCACTCTTTCATGAGATGATTTATTCAACTGCTCCAAATGACCACATTGAGCTTGATTTAGCTTCAAGACATCACAATCTCCTTCAAGTTCAAAAGGAAGATAGAAACAACAGGAACATTAGAAAACAACCAAGTAAAGGTCGTCGAAATGAACTACTGAAGGACCATCATAAAAGACTTATTAAAAAGATTCAAAGACTAACCTTAATTTGGTTTACTAGAAACTTGTTGAGCAGCAATAGTGGAGCAGTAGAAACACGCGCGACAGCTCGCGCACCCGGTGCAGGCCTTTGCCCCATCCCCCTGCACCGAATCGGGGTAACATTTTATTGATTGCTATTCAATGTCTTCATAATTTTCTCCATCATCAGAAAGCTCATCAAATGATCGCATATCGAGCTGGTAACGCAGAATTCCTCCAATTCCTCCAAAACCTCTGCAGAACTGCGATCCCTCCTGTGATTTATTTGTGACGAACTCCAAGGTGCAACCAAACTGTTTGTACTCACTAGCAAACCACTCGAGAAGTGACGTCTTCTCTTGAACCTCCAATTCAGCAGAGGTCGTTGAATCTCGAAAGTTACTCTGATCAGAGTCTTGATCTTTGTTCAAGTGTTTTATAACAATTTCACCTGTAGAGGCATTTTTCAGCACATACCTGTTAATGTCCAGATTTTCCCAAACAATTAGTATCTCAACTGCACCCATCTCAAGACCTTTCAACGTGTCATCCACACCAAAAACATACTTCCCAGTATCCTGGCTGATCTCCTCAAAGTACTTGCCTATCAACCGCTTCTCCTGTATAAACTTCACATTAGATAAGATCTCAGAGGACAGCTCAATTGCCTGATTGAAACCATTTTCCCCGCCATAAGAAACATCCACAACATTCAGAATTTTTGCCTGCAGACGAGGATCAAACATATCAGACTGACTCAGCTCAGTCTTGAAGTCCGCTGATCCAGCAAGTATTAATCCTGAAACATTAGGCTGGCTGGTAGCAGGGTTAATATAAAACTGTGTGGCTAGCTCTGCTGTCTTCCTCACGTAGTTGTGGCGCTTCTCCATTCGAAGACGAGCAAATCGGAGAGCTGACTGCCCTCCTCTTCCATGTTTCTTTGGGAGGTCAACAGAAAATTTGTGAAGCACCTCTCTTGTGTTGCCACTTAACGTCCCAAAAAGAGTTCCATTTCCATCCATAACAATAAAACCAAACTTGTCATCTGATTCTAAAAGTTCACTCAGAGCTTCAGTATGGAACTTGTTGTCACAGAGATAAAGAGATGCATTTATGGGCCTGAAAGGTTCAAAGTCAATAGTGACTTTCTTCTCCTTTCCATCATCAGTCAAAATTGTGCCAGTGTAAAGCACAAGACCATTGGGAGGAACTTTGTTGTAAAGCTTAAGCCTCTGCTGAGCAGATGTGATTGCACCTAAAACAGACTGACGATTCACCCTGCTTTTAATGTTTGAGGCAGTTCCAAATTCATCACCAAGCATCTTGGTAACCCGAGATATTTGATCACGTGGAGGCATAATAAGAGAAATCATGCTGGTGCCATTGCCTCTAGCAGCTTCCAGTGCCTTAATCAATTTCTTGATCTTCCATATCTCAATGTTCTTATCAGTTTCATGAGCATCCGCCATTGCAAGGTACAAGAAAAATTGTGCAAAAAGTAACACAAGTATCTGCAAAAAATAACATAAAATTAACTCATCTTTTGAAAGGGAGAAGAGAGGGGATGAAGTAGGATGAAAACTACAACTAAAAAGGGAAAAAATGAAAACAACAATCACATAAAAGGAAAGTTGCATCCATGGAAGAAAAACAAGTTATAATAAGAGAGAAGGCAAGTTTCATATCATAGATACACCTGGTTCACAAACAGCAGAAAAAGAAAAGAAAAGAGAGGAATACTATCAACAGATTGAATGGCTGGCACTGGAAGGTTTCAACAACCATGGGCGTATGAGAAAACAAGCATGTGATTTCACTCTAGTCAATTTTGTTGTCAAAACATACTTTAGAAGCATGAACTTCATGCTTCTGAAATGTATCCTTTTTACTTTCATGTTGAATTTAATGTGTGTGTGGGTGTGGGTGTGGGTGTGGGTGAGAGAGAAAGAGAGAGAGTGCTGACTGCACCTTCTATATATGTTTTCATTTTCACATTTCAACAAACTAAAGTATGAAAAAAGCAACTTGACTGAACATAAACTACTCTTTAAAACCAATAGTCCAGACCCATTCATGAAGCTTCCTCAAATACGAAGTCTGATATTGCAAAATACAGCAGTTCATGATAGGCTTAACGTACATACAGTCAAGTATATATCTTCCACAAGATTTTCCAGAACATGCCAGGTCAGCACATAGAAAATCATTAACTCCCTAGCAATATGTCTCAGACTCAGCCAAGCAATGTGCACTGAGGCTTTACTGCTTTAATTAATTTTCAATTTAAAGATATCACAATGACATGGAAATTTGGTCCATTAAACTACTAGCTCAGTCAGTTAAAAAGCATAGCCCAATATACAAGTTATAAATAAAACCAACCCAGTTTTCAGTGAGGTAGAAAAAGAAGAAAAAATAAAGAAAACTCATGTACGTGTTTTTTTTTTTTTGTTTTCATATTTCAAAGTTTGGAAGTAATGGAACATATGTAGCACAGATACAGGGCACGACACGGTCACGTTGATTTTTAAAAAATGAAAGACACGACACGTTTAGGACATGTTAAAATTTTATATATTTATAAATTTATTATGTCATATGAATAATTTATTCAAAAATATTAAAAATATGTAACATTATACTAAATATATTTAAGAAGTTACATATTTTTCATAATTTAAACCTCAATATATCATTCACATAAAAATTATAATCTAAAGAATCTAAAAGAAAATACAGAACATTATAATGTACATGATGCATTCATCATATAAATATTTCAAAACATACTTAGAGTGCGTAAATTGTGTTTTGAGAAATGCAAAATATTGTTATTATGACGTGATTCATCACATAGGATAATCTTATAAATGTTTCAAAACATATTTAGAGTGCGTAAATTGTGTTTTGAGAAATGCAAAATATTGTTATTATGACGTGATTCATCACATAGGATATGTTCGGAGGGTTCAAGAAGTGTCGCCGAAGTGTCCGCAAAGTGTTGGTAGAGTGTCCGATAATATGAATATGATTTTTTAATTAAGACGCATTGACGCAACGCAAGTGTCGGAAACACTTTTGGAAGTGTCCAAAGAGTGTCGGTGTCCGATACAACATGCTTCCTCGCTGGAAGTGTCTGTGCTTCTTAGTTGACACCAAAAATCCAGAAATATATTCTAAATTGAAGCTGACATCCAGAAATACATGATGTGCTAATATAAACAACAAAGTACTGTTGTTCACAATATCCTCTGCAAAATGCCAAATCAGCAAAGAATATTTATTATTTCCTAATCTACTCCAGAGATCTGAATGCCTTCTAGTGGCAAAGTACAAGGCACAAGGCAAGCATCCAAGCCAAGCAAGATGCATACACGATGGAAATAACTTGACATTTTGAAGAAACCACAATCATGGAAGTTTGGTCAGTTATTAGTTCAATCCATTGCAGCATTGTTTGAAACTCAAGTTACATATTCAAGTAATGTGGATTGCCCATGAACACCAAAACAAAATAGAAAAGGAGAAGAATTTCCATATACATGAAATTTGGCCAGTTATTAGTTCAATCCATTAAAGCATTGTTTGAAACCCAAGTTACGCATTCAAGTAATGTGGATTGCCCAAGAACACCAAAATAAAAATTAAAAAAAAGAAAATTTTCCATATACATGAAATAAACCAAAGGAAATCAATTCAACCATGTTTTTTTATTGAAGATGCATCACGACTTTCATGTGAAGTTTAAAGAAACAGCAAATATTACCATGAAGATACACTTGGAATAAAAAACAGCAATACATTTTTATGCAAAACTATGCAATCCAATCAAACAACAAGGAGAGAATAAAACCACGCAATGAATTCCAAAAAACGTATTACCTGTTTTAAAGTAGCACTATAATTATGATACTCTAAGAATATTATAGGGAACCAAAAAACATCAATTAATAAATACATGAATCATGATACATGTGCGCGCACGTGTGTATCTGTCCTTTTAAGCATTGCACGGTTGCACCTAATTGAAGTTGCATACCCTTCACCTAAAATCAAATAGGCCAACAGAAGCCACCTAGTTTCAAACAGAGACGTTGATGTTCCTAGTGATTAGTGTCTATTAACACTAGTATTTAAACCAGAGGCTGGCAGGACGTTCTGGAGTCAAGGTACCTTTTGGGGTCTCGTTTAAAAAGCCATTGAGAGATGGTTTGATATCCAATTGAGAAATCAGTACTTACAAAACAGTTAATATAAATGAGCTGAGAAACACATCCACTAGCATGTCTTCCTCTCTGGTAAATGGTAAATCAAAATCCACCACTGACTGACCCCACCCCATCCAACCCAACCCAAAATATATATATATATATATATATTTGTTCTAGCAAATGAAAAACCAAGAACTTACCCAAGAATCATTGCCAAACCCATTATAGAATCATTTAAAGTGATGAATCCTTTGAACCTTGTGATTGCATTCAGAATGTAAAAGGTCTAGAAAACCATAATTCAATCATAAATACAAGTAACTCGTAGCAGCCCAGATATTACTGAGTTATCCCCCATAGATACTAACGTCCAATCATTGAAATCACAGCACCTTTGGCAAAAAATTATCATGGGTTACCGTGGTTTTAAACTTAAGAAACCGGTCAATCATTGTAAACCAAACTAAACAATATCCATGTTCATTTAATTTTCTTTAATCTGTAAACAACATCAAACAATGCCACACAAACAAGTAGAATGAAACCAACATTAAGAAAAAAAAATAATAATAATTCCTAGTTGATCTGGTTTCATTCATACACACATAATTTATATCCAATAATCTCTCTCAACAGCAAAACAATTTAAGAAACAAAAGCACAGCAAAAACTTTGATACAGACATAAACCTAAGAAAAGAGTGATTGGATTAAGAGAGAGAATAAAAAAGCGAATCGCGAGTTACCTGAAACCGATGAGCCGTGGAGCTGCCTAGGATTTTTTCGATTTGGTTTTTTTTTGTGGTTGTCATTACAATTAATAGCGCGGTTTGGGACTTCAGATCGAAACCCTAGGTGCCTAACCTAACCTTACCACGCACTTTCCAACGTCAGACTTTAACCATGGTCAAGGAAAACAATCCTAATCCTCTACGCTTACGCTACTATTTTCCCGTTTCTTTGTCTTTAATTATTTTTTTCCCCACATTTTAGTTAAAACTTGTAAAAAATAAAAATAAAAATAAAAATATTGGGAAAATTATTATTAAAAAAAACCTCGTTTGTCTTTGTATCAAAATAAATTTTAAATGTTATCAATTTAAAAAAATATACTAAAAACTAGATATAAAAAAAAAATGAAAATAACATTTTCGGGGAATTTTTTTTTTCCTAACTAACAAGTCTTTACTAAATTTTTGTAATTCAAGTCCTATTATAGCACTGCGTATTTGATTTTTACTATAGTACCCTTATTAATTGGGAATAATTATTGAAAAGTCTAAGTTAAGAAAAGTATAAGGTATTAGGTCTAATGAATTTTTATTTTTATTTTTGTAAGAGGTCCATCATTTATGAAATAGTTTGATGAGAAGTTATTTTCTTGGTTTTAAAGGATATTTTGTTTCTAATTTTACTCATTGACTTTTTTATTTGTTAACTTTTTGTTGACTATCTATTTAAATTTATATTTATATATTCAATTTTTTTTCTATCTATTCAAATTTTTTTCTATTTGTTCAAATTTATATCTATCCGTTCAATTTTTCCCCTACTTGTTTAATTTTTTCCCTTATTTGCTCAATTTCTTTATTCTATCTATTCAAATTTTGTAGATTTTTCTCTTTATCTATTCAAATTTTGTGAGTTTCTATTCAATTTTTGAAATTCTTGTGCTAATTTTTCCTATCTATTCAATTTTTTTCCTATCTATTTAATTTTTTTTACCCTTTATGTTCAATTTTTTTACCCTATATGTTTACTTTTTTAATGTTTTCAATTCAAATTTCAAAATTTGCCCAAATAAAATCTATCTATTGAGCTTTATCTATTCAAAAATTCTACATGTTCAAATTATCTATTGAAATTCTATAATATTTTTTTCCATATGTTGAAAATGAACAGATAGAGGATTCCAAAAGAAGAAGAAATCAACCCTATTTATTCTTCACTCTCTTCCAAACCAAAAAAAAAAAAAATCTCCGATGGGATTTTAGCATTATCAACAACAACAATAACCACCACCACTACCACCAAACCACAACCAAATAACAACAATAGCAACAACAACACAACCCAACCCAACATAACCTAACCTATCTCTTCAAAACACTTCAATAGACAAGTACACATATATATACACAATCAACAACAATAAAAAAATAAAAAATAAAAGGTGGCGAATTTGAAACAGATAAAACCCTAACAAAAAAAATATAGATCTATTGAACAGATAAAACCCTAATAATAATACCCTAACAACAAAATCAGATCTGAATATATATAGATTGATCAAGATTTTAAAAAAAAAAATCATAGATTTATTCAAAAAAACCACAGAACAGATGAGAATGATGATGCTGATCTGTAGTGCTACGGTGTAAGAATGTGTTGTATGATGGAGGATGGCGATCAATGGACGACTGTGGTGAGGGGATCGCCATTGGGGATAGCGGCAATGGAGGAATGAAGTAGGTCGACAAAGTAAATGAGAAAAAGAATGAGAGATGCGGGGTGCTGTGCGACGGAGGATGGCGATTGGTGAGTTACGTCATTACAATGGTATGCGACTACGATGGTAGCAGGATCACCTTTGGAGATGGCGATGATGGAAGAAAAAGTAGATCGGCGAAGTAAGAAAATAAGAGAGATAGAGAGGAGATTGGTAGCGAGTGAAGAAGATTAGTGGTGGGTGGCGCTTTGTCAAGACCCAAACTCGCGCCCTATAGGTTTAGCGTTATAACCGGCCAGTAATTTTAGGATTACCAAAGGCCTCTGAACAGATCATTACATAATAAGGGACTGCGGAAGCAAATATATAAAAATTACATAGTCCATAGAGCTGTGTAAACATACATGGGACATAAAATTTAAAACTTTATATACATAAACGTGACATCATATAAGCAATAGTCTTACGTCACTTCACTTACAGATAACCAAAATGGAACTTAACCCAACATACAAGTAAAACAAAAGAGAATTTAAACGAAATTCTAGGTTACAAAACATTGACCATAAGCAGGTTTTGGAACCTCCACGGGGAGGCACTTTGGTTGGTTGGACAAAAATGACCTCCATGCAACAGCTTAGGCTTGGTCACGTGCTTGATCATCTACATACATGAATAATACTGTGAGTTGGAGCCCTATGAATAATAACAGAGTAAAGGTTTTAATAAATGATGTCTACAACAGATTTAGAATTCAGATTCATATTCAGAAATGGATACATATTCATATTCATGTTCAAAGTTCATACATTTCACATGATAATACGTAGTACATTCGTTAGCGTTAACAAATCTGATGACCCATAAAGGGACAGCCATAAAGGCGGAATAATGACCCATAAAGGAACGACCATAAAGGTATTTCGATGACTTATGTGCACAAAGACGTTTTCGATGACCCATAAAGGGACGCATAACATATGATGCTAAGGATGCCATGAATACATTTCAAAAACTTGGACAATCATTCATTCATATAAAACATAGCAGTTTAGAAAACTGATCATTTCATATCATCAGAAAATAATTAAAGTTAAACATAACTTTACAGAGTTATTACTCACAGATGGCCCCAATAGCAAATCAGATGTATCAAACAAACCAAACAGCTAAGGTGCATAACCTACACAAACACAAAGCAGATACACCTTGAAACACACATTCGGAAAACACTTAACTCATTTCGTTTAATTCTTAGTGTGTTTCTAGCCTTTATCCTCATTATCATGTCTTAATTAGGGTTTAAGAATGCCTAAGATGCATTGAGAATACCAAAATATGCTTCAAAATATTTAGCCAAATTTTCAAAAACAGGACAGTTCGCTCGAGCGCAACTTCGACTGCTCGAGCAGTCTGCAAAGTCTGCAAAAGTACTGGTTACTTGAATTTTCTACTTGACTGACGCTCAACGGTCGCTCGAGCGCAAGCCTGAGTAAAAGGGTTTCCATTCAAGTGCAACTTCAGTCACTCGAGGGTCTACAAAAGCTTGTAAAACTTTTGGGAGCTTTCATTTTATGCTCGAGCGCAACCTCGGTCGCTCGAGTGGAAGGTCAAGGGTGGCCGCTCGAGCACAGGTTCTGCCGCTTGAGCCAATCCCTAAACTTTACAAAAATACTGGGAGCTCGCATTCTCCACTCAAGCGCAGACTCCATTGCTTGAGCGGAGGGTGCAAATTCTGAAATTTCCAGATTGCTGATACAAGTTCAAAACTTAAATTCAAACCAACAAAACACATCCTTTTGGGCCCAAAACTTGAGGAAACATATGTAAACTTGTAAAACATTGTGAATTTAAGATCATTTCGCAAAATCAAAGCCCAAAAGCATGCCAATTGTGCAAAATCAAACTTGGAACTTAAAGGACAAAACATGAAGATAAAATGCATGTAATCAATTGAATTCAAAGCCTTCAAATCATAATTGAATGAGGTGTTTAGTTCAAAAACATGTTAGTACTACGATAGAGAAAAGGTTGGGAGAATAGAAGATAAGCACGGGGAAGAAGAGGGGGTTTGAGAGAGACAGGTGTAGCACAAGGTTTACAATCCTTTATTCCGGCCTTCGCAAGAATATCAGTAGCATATTTTGATTAGGAAAGAAAATAGCCATGAGGAGAAGACTGAACCGAGATGCCTAGAAAATAGGAGATGTGACCCAGTTCCTTCATGGAAAATGCCTTGTGCATGTGGGTGAGAAGAGTCTGAATAAATTCTTCATTAGTGCCAGTGAGGAGAATGTCATCAACATAGATGGGGAGATAAGTGATAGAAGAAGTGGTCTTGCGGACAAAAAAAAAGGAGTCACATTTGCCTTGAAGGAAACCTTGAGAAAGAAGAAATCCAGAAAATGTAGAGAACCATGCTCTTGGTGCTTGCTTTAAGCCATAGAGAGCCTTATGTAGTTTACAGACCATAGTACACTTAGAGGGATCAACAAACCCAGGTGGTTGATCCATGTAAACTTCATCTTCAAGATGACCATGTAAAAAGGTATTACTAATATCCAGTTGGTTGAGGGGCCAATGATGATGTAAAGCCAAACATAACATGGTCCGAATGGTGGGTTGCTTGGCCACAGGACTGAATGTATCGTGAAAATCAATGCCCTGTTGCTGAAGGAAGCCCTTAGCGACAAGTCTAGTTTTATGTCGGGCAACAGTTCCATTAGAATTTGTCTTGGTTTTAAAAACCCATTTGCACCCAATAGATTGCAATGGACCAAGTGCCCTGTTGCTGAAGAGCAGTATACTCATCAAGCATGGCTTAGAACTAGACAGGAGAGAGAAGAGCATGGTGGTATGAGATGGGTTCAGTATCATTTGGAGAAAGGGGAGTGGAGGTTATAAGACAAGTAGGGTGAGATTTCGATCGAGTAGTCATATGATGAATATCAGGAATAGAAGGAGTAGAAGGGTGAGAAGGTACGGGCACATCAGGTAGATGGGGCATTGGTAACTGAGACAAAGACAGAGATTGATGGGAACAAGGAGGCTGTATTGCAGGGTGCAGTAGAGAAGAAGTAGGTGGAGGCAGCAGAGAGGAAGTAGACTACGGTACTCAGGAAGAAGACGACTGCACTGGTGAAGTAGACTGCTGTGACAGAGAAGAAGTATTTGCTGCAGTAGGGAAGCAGACTGCGGCAGAGGGGAAATAGGCTGCTGCGAAGAAGGAGATATAGGTGTAGATGAGGAGAGAGGGGTAGGTGACCAAAAGAAGGTCTGGAGTTGAGATAAGGAAGACAGTGAAGACTTTGAGGACTGTGAAGAACAAGTAGAAAAGGGAAAAGATGCCTCATGAAATCTGACATGTCGAGAAAGAAAAAATTTGCCTGTGAGAGGATTAAGGCATCTATAACCCTTGACAGGAGGGTGATACCCGAGAAAGACACAAGG